GGGGGGGGGGGGGGGGGGGGGGGGGGGGGGGGGGGGGGGGGTAGGGTTGGGTAGCAAAGCTGGCGAGAGAGAGAGAGAGACAGACAGACCACAGAGAGAAAAAAACTTTAATTTGGGTTTTTCCCATGGGTATCCATGGGCCTTCTGCAGGAAGGGATGAGCTGACACGTTTGATTTCCAATAGGATATTAACCTGTTTGACCCAATTTTGATTTGGGTTTTTTTTTCCACAATTGCCCTCACAGACCTCTCACGTGATTAGAACATGGGCATTTCCATTATCAATTTAAATGGTGGTTAGGAATTGGACTAATTAAACACATTGAAAGCATCAAAAGGACCAAATTGGAAAAATTAAAATTTCAGGGACCAAATTGACAAAGAGCACATACTTTAGGGACCAAAAATGTATTTAGTCCATTACATTTTTCACACACCACACTCACATTGGGGTGATTTTGTTGAGGTAGCCTGGTATTAAGGTGACTGAAAAAACTCTATAATCAGGCATTAAACAGATAAATCATGTTTTTTTGCATCATGAAAATGCATGATAGTCTCAATGAGAAATGGAGCTCTACCTAATTTTCTCAGCATCTTGTGGCAAAATGGAATTAGTACTACCATCTTTATCTATTTTTTCCGGCAGTATCTTGCTGAATTTGTAACATATGACAGACCAAGATCATGTCCTTTTTTCCCTCTCCCTTAAGATGTGTAATAAACACATAATAAAGTGGAACAAGAGAAAGATCAAGAACATGTACAACAACGATGTTCAAATCAGATCATCACCCATGGCTTGTTTTTTTATTTTGTGATAATAAAGACAACAAACAACCACGAAAATTGCAATTACACAAGCCATGGGTGATGATCTTGGCGCCATTATTTAAACTTGTTCTGTTAGAATCTGAAAAGAGAGGAATCGTCATGAAGGTTGTGTTTGGTGATTTTAAAAATAATTTGCGAATGCTTTTTTCTGGTTTTCTGTGAGCTACTAAAAGTAATTTTTGACTTTGTTAAGAATTCAAGGCTGTTACAGAGGGAGACCACAGGAATAGCCTAACAGTTGTGAGCTCATTCCATCCGCCAGTATGCTGTGGGTTTGTTGTAACAAAGTTCTTAATATACCCTTTTGTCTAAAGAAAATCCTTGAAATAAAGAACATGCTGATGACTATTTGTCCAAAAGATCATTTGCATTTATCAACTTAAAAAAATGAAAGCCTTAATTATTCTTTTTCTGTACAATTCTGTTCTATCCTTGTGACATCAATTATGATACAGGAGCTTGTAAACAAAGGACAAACTAGGTAGGCCTAGAAATTGTGGTGTACCACTGAATTGTTCATGGTTCAGCTGTGTGCCTACCCTCAAGAAAAAGATAAAAAAAAATTCAGTCTCAATCGGGACTGCTGTGAGTTGGGCAGATCTGGGTCAATTTGCCTTTAGATTGGATGGAAGATTTGTCAACAGACTTATGATTTGATTTATGAGCAGGAAGTTGCGAAGCTGAGTTCAGCTGGTTTATTAGTAGCTTGATGTACCAGTCTATCTAGCTTGCAAAGTTATTGAAAATTTAGATGCATAAATTAATGGATATTGTAAGAATGACTATCTTTCAACATTTTACCCTCATCGGTACTAATCCTTTCGAATTCAAGTTAGGACAGAGGGTGCCTATCACAACCCAACCTGTTCATTGTCAGTTCAGTTGTCCCAAAATTTTGCTTCATTCTAATACTCATGTGCAAACCCTTATGTGATTTCTCAGATGGGACCCAGTGAATAATGCTAATATTCTTTCCATGAGTGCTGAATCTGTGTTATCCAATAAGGGCGAAAGCACCTCGCATCAACATTGAGAAATAATTGAAAAAAAAGAACGATTTATGCACACAAGCTTAACTTGCTAGTTAACACAGATTATCAGCTCCTTCGCAATTTTCTGATTATCGTTGGACTTGTTCAGATGGATGTTCGTGCAGCCGTTGCCGATATTTTCAGCATGCAGTTGAATGTGCTTTTGCCTTGAGAAATTCTTATAACCACATCGTCAAGCTCTTCTCTACGGAACAATTTTTGGGCATTCTCAAGCCTTCAAAAGAAAGACATTTCATTTTAGCTGATTCATCATTGGTGCAGTCTGTGGTGAAGATTACATTTTGCTTTAGAGGTTTAGTACTTGTTTATTTTTAATCACATTACATTTTTTCTATAGTAAGTGAAGCTTGTTGTGGAGAGAAAACATCTGAAGATTTAAGGACTGGAAATGATAGTAGTTTTGTTATAGTTTCAATATTCAGTGGCTTTGTTGTTGTTGCATCACTAGAGGAAACAGACTCCGAC